GCACACACACACACACACACACACACACACACACACACACACACACAGAGAGAGAGAGAGAGAGAGAGAGAGAGAGAGAGAGAGAGAGAGAGAGAGGTTACAGGTAGAGGCTATTTCAAAGTATGGGGCCTATGATCTGATTCGACATTACAGGGGCAGACATTGTTGGACACTTGACAGGCAGACATTGAGGATGGAGGAAAGAGATCAGCGAAATCAGAAACAGGTGGAGTGTGGTATGGAGGGGTCCATGGTTGACTAGTCATGGGAAACCAGATAATAATCCCTTCGTAAGTCTCCATGGTCCCGGCCCGGAGCCCCATTCCACTGTATTTTCCCCAGCCTCCCCCCTTGAATTCCCCAAAGCCAGCCGCCACTGAATTGTTGTATGATCTTGTGATATTTCCTTGTTTGACAAGAAGTGTTTGATTCTTGTCCTCACATTTTCTCATTGTGCAGTGATGTCAGTTTGTATTTGTTGTTTAATATTGTCCGTGAATTCCGGACCATCAGGTCTTGCGCATCCCAGTGCATGGGTACAGCGTCTCCTCCACTGGGTCCAAATGATAGCTCTCCTACTTTTTTCCCTGTTTTTTTAACTTTTTTTTTTTTTTTTTTTAAGGAAAAACTCCGATCTATTTGTGGGGAGCAGCACGTGCTGGGAACCGGGCCCAGCGTCCCAAACAGTACGATTAGATGAGATTACAATGAGTGGTTCATGATGATCTTGAGAATACCAGAGCCGTTATTTTGAAAAGATTCTGTGTAAAATTGTCGATCTGATCAGGGCGTCGTGTTCCACAAAAGAATTGCTCACCAATCCCATGGCCAAGGGTGTGATGTACCCAACTGGCTCGAGATCCTGTCCCACCACCTTCATAACCAGATAGCTCCCGGACATTGAAGGAAAATGTGTTCGATTGTTTCCGTAGTGGAACAAAATTCACACCATGGTAACACCAGACCCCTTTGTTGTAGAGAAGATCAGTCAGTAATACAATCATTTGTAGGCAAGCAGCGATGATCCAACATTGGTAGGCAGCCATGGCGTGACATGTTTGCATCCAACCGGGACTCGGGACTAACAGATTGGATGCATGTATGGCCCGACCAACCAAGAGCGTTTCGATCACAGACAACAATTAAGATAAGAAGGAAGACAGTTGGTAGAGCACGAAAGCTGCATTCAGGAGGTCGTGGGTTCGATAC